CCTACACTTAATTTTCACTATTATTTTAAGTATTTAAACTTCTCATTTTTGTCGGAAATTTTGTCTCACTTACAATTTTGTTTTAATATTTTTCTGTAATTAACTTTTTTTTTCCATGCAAAGATTTCGCTTGAGTTTATAGATCATATAACGAAAAGGTTTTATTTATTTAAAAACTTTTTAGATTTTTTAGGTGTTAATGGAATGTTTAAATATTTTTTAGGCTAGACGAGACTTTCGTTATTTTGACGTATAATCAAGTAAAAATATTCTCAAGTTAAAAATAGTTCTCTATCGTTTTGCTATCGTTATTTGTAACAATGAATAGCGCGGATATCTTGGCTTTTAAACAATACGTTAAACGTCCATCTATTAATACGTCCTTGGTTTAGCAGAGCTTAAATTATGTCGGAAAGAATGCAATTAACCGGACAAGGTTATTGAAAAAGCATTTCATAATGCAAAACTGCAAGGACCAGTTTAACAGAAGAAAGCTAAAGAAATATTTCCTTTAGTCACTACATTTTACAGTAATATAAACTGCGAGCCTATACTAACTAGAACTAATCTTCTATTCAGTCTTTCCTCTAGTGAAAGAATGCAACAAATCTTTTTTTAATATTAACTCTGTAATAGCTTACAAATAACCACTTAATTTACTGAGACAACTTACTTCAGCTAAATTTAGTTCCGTACCACCTAACAATAAAAATATAGGAATTTTTCGCATAACAGCATTTAAACTCGCACTACTGATGAAACATTGAAAGGCCTCTAGTGTTAAATATACTTTGTAGCACTTTGTTAAATATCTATTCAGAAATATAAAAAGCTGTTTTTGAAGTTGTTACTATGCTTGACATACATTTTTCATTTTATTGGTTAAATTATTTTGATAGTTATTATATTGTTTTGATAGTTAATATATATATATATATATATATATATATATATATATATATATATATATATATATATATATATATATATATATATATATATATATATATTTATATATAGTTAGTTAGTTAGTTAATTTAAGTTACACAAAGCCACAGCCTTGTTAAACTCATCATCAGCTGAGTATACGCATCTATACCCAACTCGTATTTCGGCCACTTTTGTGTGGCATTTACGGTAAATGATGAGTTGTAGCAACTATGATGACTGAAAACTGTCTAGTAGTTGTTTAAATTTATAAAATGATGTTGCCTCGATGACATTATCTGGCAAAGCATTCCAATCATTGACTACACGGTTGTTAAAAAAATTATGTCTGATTTTGCAGTTCCTGACAATCTCGCAATGAAATCTGATTCGATGTTGAGCTATAGTTGTTATGCTGCCAGGCATTACGTGCCAATCAATTAGGTTTAAATTGTTGCGAAGCTTATATTTTTGAATAAGATTGCCTCTTTTCCGCCTGTCTCCAAGAGTATTTAATTTCATGATTTTACATTGAGTTTTGTTGTCTTTATTTTCCAAAACATTAGGAACTTTCGTTGCGTTGCGTTGTACCTTTTAAATTTTTTTTTATGTCACTATCAAGGTAAGAGTTCCAGGCTTGTATGGCAAACTCCATATGTTGTCTAATTTATGCAGTACAATTTTTTTTCCAAATGTCAATGTCTCTTGATACAAACGTGTGTGTAAGAATTCCTAGCATATTATTTGCTTTGTTTGCAGCTATATTGCACTGTTGAGCATATTTAAGATTTTCGAAGATTAGAATTCCAAGATCTTTTTCAGAATTTGTGACTACTAAAACTACTCTATTGGTTGTACCGTCATTTTTGATTTCATCCATAATGTAATCAAATTTTATTGTTCCAGAATTTACATGCATGACTTTACATTTTTTTACATATAACTCCATTAGCAAGGTTTGCGTCCATTTAACAATCTCGTCTAGATCGGATTGTAAACCTGCTCGGTCTTCATCATTGCAGATGGCTGATTTGAAATGAAATGGCAGGTCATTAACAAATATTACAAAGAGCATTGGTCCTAACACAGAACCTTGGGAAACCCTGCTAGTTACATCAATCCAGTCAGATTTTGTTTCTCCAAGTATAACACGCTGCTTGCGATTTGTTAAGAAGGCTTTTTCCATTTTAGAAGATTGCCATTTATACCATACATTTCAAGCTTTTGCAGCAATCTTACATGCGAAACTTTATCAAATGTCTTTGCAAAGTCAAGAAAAATTAGGTCGGCTGGTTTTTTCTTTGATTCGCTAAAAGTCAAAAAGTCCATTGTTTCTAAAAGATTTGTGATGCAAATCTTTTTTGAAACGAAACCATGTTGAATTTTGGAAAGCAATTTGTTATTTACCAAATGATTGATTATTACTTGTCTGACTATTTTTCCATAAGTTTGCATAAAACAGAAGTGAGCGATATGGGCCTGTAATAGGCTGGATCTGTTCTGCTACCATTTTTTTAAATAGGTGTTACAATAGCTCTGAGCCAAGATAGTGGAACCTTTCCAGATTTTATTGAAAGTTGAAAAATTAAAGTTAGCGGAACTGCTATTGATGTGGCACATGCTTTTAAAATAAAACGGACTAATGTTATCATCACCTATTGGCGTATTTCGATCAAGCATATTTAGGTATTTGAAAACAATGTTTTGGTCAATTGTTATATTCAACTATTTTGTGAGTTGAACCTGTTTTAATGGCCTCAATTACACCTTTTACAGCAGCTTTTTCATCATTGTAACTTTTTGCGCATAGAAGACCATAAATGGCTACACGGGTTGCCTTTGTTGCTTGCATCTTATTATTTTGTTCAGTAACCTTTGCAAAAGCCTTCGCTGCTATTGATTTGGGGTTAGCTACAACCTCTGACCAAGCTATTGAATTTACTGTACACGTTTGTACTGTTTGTACTGTTGTTTGATGGTCTTTAATTTGTTGTAATCCAAGTTTAAAAGCAACATTGTCCATTTCAATTGTTGATATTTTCTCTGTGAAAAATTTAAATGTTGCTGCGAGTGAGTTAATCCAACAGTCATGTCTAGTAGTTGTTTCTGATGGTTGACCAGCCATTTTTGGCCAGTTTGTTAGTGCAGAAATTGTATTGTGTTCAAAACCCTTTTCTTTTTCGTTTGCCATTGATAATACTTTTGCCATTTATAATATTATTTTGTTTACAAATAAGAGGGATACCACCCTGAATAACAGTGGATTACCTCTTGATGTGAATTTGTTAAACCTTTTTACACAAGGACTACAAAGTACTTTTGTACTTATTACAAAAGTTTCAGTATGTGTATTTTTCCGTCATATATATATATATATATATATATATATATATATATATATATATATATATATATATATATATATATATATATATATATATATATATATATATATATATATATATATATATATATATATATTATATATATATATATATATATATATATATATATATATATATATATATATATATATATATATATATATATATATATATATGTATATATATATATATATATATATATAATAGTCTTTAAGTATATATATATATATATATATATATATATATATATATATATATATATATATATATATATATATATATATATATATATATATATATATATATATATATATATATATATATATATATATATATATACTTAAAGACACCAATAGATAGTGTCTCTCTTGGCTCACGGTCGTTTATTAGCGCTATGTTTAAGTACGCATGCGTGAGAAAAAGCAAAAGATTTTTGAACTTTTAAAATGGCTAAGGTTCTTAACTAGAAATTATATTTTATATAGCAACCATGTTATTTGTTATTTGATCTCTAAAAACTCAATGTTGTAGCATTATTTTTATGTAGATCAGTATATTATATCAAAATTTTCACAAAAATTTTGATATAATATACTGATCTACATTATATTATATCAAAATTTATATTATATCAAAAAAAAGAATACAAAGTATCTTGGAGTACTTAACCTTTATTTTTTAATTTACAATTTTTTAGTGTAACTCATAGATTTGTTTATTTATTAGAAATCAATTTTCTTAAAATCTGACTGTAGGGTTTCAATAATTTTTTTTTAAAACTTCAGATAAATATGTATTATATTTATGATATTTTTCTGGTGATTGCTTCAACTTTTTTTCAATATAAAAATTTGTTTTTACTGTTATGACTATTTAGTAATATATATATATATATATATATATATATATATATATATATATATATATTACTAAATAGTCATAACAGTAGCCAAATAGCAACGCACTAGTAATGAACAGACAACTGCTATTGTTTTGTTATATCATTAATGCTTTAGTGATTTCCCTTTAATTTATCATCTTTTCTTGCATTTGACGTCACAACTTTTTGCGTACATTTTTTTAGCAACGCATTGTATTTCACGAATCAGCAGCACGGCGTCTTGTTCTTATCATTTGTAAAAGGTCGGTTTATAAACATATTTTAAATATTTATTTGATCAAAATTTGCATTCAAAAGAATATCCTCATTATTATGATATCTTCAAATATATTTATACGTTATAATACACTACTTTTATACATATTATTTTGAAATATACGGTTTAGATGCTGTGTAGCCAAAAAGCAACAATGCGCAACAGGAGGGTACTTTTTTCGAAGATATAGCACCTCAACTTTTTATAGACCTATTGATTGGGTCCTTTTAATTTTTTATTTTTGTATTTATTTTATCTGAATATAATTTAATTTACGATATGTGGTAACTTTGACACAAAGTTTCTTAAAATAAATTATTAATTAGAAATACAATTTAGTCAATTTTTAGTAATAAAGTATGTTAGAAGTCGGGGCATGTAAAAGCTTAGGCTTAGGTCTACATTGTGAAAATATGTCAACTCTAAGTACCAAACCTAAGCCGAATCCCCATTGATCTGTTTATATTTTTCTTGTAGATGTAATTAAAAAAAAAAATTTACTTTTTTTTATAGGTATTATAATAGAATAAAAATGGATCCTGTCATGTTCTACGGAAAGTCTAAGAAAAACATTATCATCAGAGAATTACCCGAGGATTCTGAGGACAGTGAGCTATCTTGTGAGGAAGATGAAGTTGAAGAGGATCACAACTTGTCAAGTTCTGATAGTTCAAACTCTGATGGTTAGATTTAATTTTCCCATCTAATTACCACAAAATCTTGTGTTTAGGCCTATAATATAAGCAGCACTAGTCTCAACACTGTTATTTTTTTATTGGGTAGCATTTTCAAATGTTTCATAAATTTTCATTTTTATAGATGATGGTGATGCCGAAGAGGATGCTCCAGCCAGTAGCCAACCATTAGCCAACAGCTCCAGGCCTCATATTTGGCGAGAAAGAACTGATCATGCTGATCGGTCCTCAGATATACCAAATTTCATTGGGACAGAGAGAAAACCTGGGCTCTTGCGTGAGCCAATTGAATACTTCAGGGAAATATTTACTAAAAGAACCTTTGAGAACATCGTCACAGAATCTAACCGGTACAGCTTACAGCAGGACATTAATAAACCTGCCAATATTACAATGGACGAGCTAGAACAGTTTCTAGGGATTAACTTTTATATGAGTGTAGATTGCCTACCACGCTCCAGATTGTACTGGAGCCCTGATACAAGAGTTCATCGTGTGGCTGACACTATGAGCCAAAAACGATTTGAAGAAATTAAAAGGTTTTTGCATTTTTCAAATAATGAAAACAACAATGGAGATAAACTCCATAAAGTAAAACCACTTTTAGATGTTTTCAAGGCCAGCGTCAACAGCATTCAAAAATCCAAAATGATGAGCGTTGATGAACAAATAATACCTTTTAAAGAAAAATCATCACATAAACAATATAATCCTAAAACGCCTAAGAAGTGGGGATACAAAGTTTTTGTGTGCTCGGGTAGCGCTGGCCTCATTCACAATTTTGAGTTCTATGATGGCCAAATCCAACCTTGTCCTGGAAAACCTGATCTGGGTGCATCAGGCAATATAAATCTTAGACTTATGCAAGATGTTCCTAGACATTGATGGCATCAGGTATTTTTTGATAATTGGTTCACTTCTTTACCCCTCCAAGTGCTATTATGGAAAGAAGGAATAGCGAGCGTGGAATCTGTCCGTCCCAATCGTTTAAGAGGCTGCACATTTCCTCCAGACAAAGAGCTATCAAAAAAAAGAAGAGGTTCTATTGTACTGAAAACCGGAGTTTTTGATAGTGTGCAGCTGAATGCTGTCAGGTGGATGGGCAACAAAGCTGTGACTCTTTTTAGTACCTTTTCTGCAGTAGAGCCAGTAAAAAAGGTCAGAAAATGGGACAAGAAAGAGAAGAAGGATATCGAGGTGGATTGCCCTTCCATCATTATTCTGTACAACGCCTTCATGGGTGGTGTGGACCTGTTGGATTCCCTGGTGGCATTATATAGAAACCACATCAGATCCAAAAAGTAGTACCACCGAATCACTTTTCATATCTTCGAATTGGCTGTAGTTCAAGGGTGGCTTCTGTATGCTTTTGATTTTTCTAAATCAGGTCTACCACCATCAGCTAAATTGCCACTGCTTCAATTCAAAATTAATATTGCTCTTTGCTTAATGAGACAGAATAAAACCCTATTCTTTGGTAGCAAAGAATAGGGGTCGACCTACTTTGGAAGTTGAGCCAAAACTGCAGTGCAAAAAGCTAAAGGGTACTGCGGCTGTTGTTTCAAACTTCTCAATCCGCACTTACAATGTGGGACATTTTCCAATACAAGTATCTAAAAAAGGCAGGTGTAAATTGCCTGGCTGCAAAGGTTTTTCTCGAACAAAATGTGAGAAATGTAATGTCCATTTGTGCCTCACTCATAAATCAAATTGCTACAAAAGTTTTCATTAGCCATGAAAATAAAATGAACATGTAGCCTCATTCATATTTTTCTGTTGTTTTCCTCTTTAATATTAAAATTTGATATGAATTAATATATCTTACTTCAATTAAAATATCTTTCTGCAAATAATTTGTTTATTCATTGTGTCAACCAATTGTTTGATTATGCATTTTGTCTACCATTTGTTTGTTTATGCATTGTGTTTACTAGTTTTTATTTTTTTGTCTGTCCAATAGATTTGTTGCCATTTGGCAACATTAAAACAATTTTACCCTCAGTTGCGCATTGTTGCCAATTGGCAACATAGCTACAAAAGCATTATTTTGAAATTTTAAACAAAAACAAAATTTATTACATTAATTTACATCCCATATAAGATGTAAATACTGAAGGAAACATTTTTTAGTTGTTTTTTTCTTAATCTGTACCATAAAAGGATATATATATATATATATATATATATATATATATATATATATATATATATATATATATATATATATATATATATATATATATATATATATATATATATATATATATATATATATATATATATATATATATATATATATATATATATATATATATATATATATATATATATATATATATATGCTATTGTTGCCTGAAATATCCAAATAATCACAGTAGAATTCTTTGCAAATAATAAAAAAAAATAAGTTATTAAAGACCTGCCTGTTATAATTCAAGTATGCATTTTTTAACTGTATAAGTGCATATATTTGAATATATAAACTGTCTAAATGCATATATTTGCATATTTATACTCAAAAAGTAGGGAAAGTTTTAGCATGAGAGTATTTTTTTTTAACTGCATTTTTTACTTTTTTGTTGCAATATTCAACAAACTTTAGTTCAAAGTATAATAAAATATTTTTATCTAATAATATTCTCCAAGCAATTTTATTTGTAGCAAAATTTTTTTTATAAAAATTTTAGTTTTTAGTTATGTTAATATTGATTTGATTTATCTGACTTATTTACAGTTAAACAAAAACTGCAAAGGGCAAAATATAAATAACTTTTCGAAAGAATTGGCGTTGAGCCTGGAAAATCTTCAGCACATAAACTAATGAAGAAACAGTTCTAAAAGTAGTTCTATATTATATTTGCAGTTTGATCATTATTTGTATAATGCTTTTGTGGCATAATTATTATACATTTTTTACTAAAGTATACAAAGCAAAAGTTTTATCTGCAACCAGTTTTTGCACAACTTATATTAAAGAATTGTGCAAATCTTGTATTGAAACTATTTTGAAAATTACCAACTCTTGTTTGTGAACGACAATTGATAAAAATGATGCTACTGATAGATCACAAATGCTATGATTGATATATAACATTAAGAGCCAGAAATCAAACAAAACATTTTAGACAAATGAGCATGTGAAATTTTATGGAAATAATTTTATGGAAAATATTTTGGGAATTATTATGTTTTTTATTTCTGCAACACAATACATAGTGCGGAAGACATTTCGTTTTTTATTTTGTAATATATATATATATAAAAAATATATATTACAAAAAGTTATGTGGCTTTTTAAATATTTAATTCAACTTATGATTGGAACTGTTATTGCACTGTGTTACTATTAGCTTATTTATTATTAAGATATTTTTTGAAATTTTTAAATTTTTGGCAGCTATATTTGAAAAAAAAATGTAGCTGCCACCTCCTAATGAGTTTTATATAATAAAATTTTTTTTTGAAAAAAAAATCATTTTTGGAGTCCCTTAAACATATAAAGAGTTCCTATTATTATCAATTTAAAAAATCTTCAAAAGTGTATTTTGACAATTCGGCTCAAATTAAGCGAAATCATGAAAATTTCAAATATGAATAAAGTATTGCCAAAAATTGGTAAAAATTGACATTTTTCTTTTTTAGTTAACAAAATTCATTTTTTATGGTGTTAAATCTAACATTGAAATTTTTATATAATTTTGCTTTATTTAAGATCCAACATGATACACTCAAAGAAAACATAAAATGTTCTAAAATAAGTAAAACATAACAAGTTCCTAAGGTTTATGAGCGAGTCATCAAAATATGTTAGATTTAACACCATAAAAAATGAATTTCATTAACTAAAAAAGAAAAATGTCCATTTTTCCGATTTTTGGCAATATTATCATATTTGAATATGAATAAAATATTGCCAAAAATTGGTAAAAATGGATAAAATAAATAAAGAAGGGAAATATGTTTTGCGTAACCATGACGTTTTTAATAAAATCAAAATTAACGGATCTTCTGGATGTTTTATCTCACTGAAAGACCATAAAGATAACTTTGCTAACAACCCTACTGTTCGACTTCTTAATCCAGCAAAAAATGAGGTAGGGAGAAACAGCAAAATTATTTTATCTAAAATTAACAATGACCTAAAAACTAAACTCTTTTTAAACCAATGGCAAAGCACCAAAAATGTTACTGACTGGTTTTAAAAAATTAAAGACAAATATATGTACAAATTTTTAATTTTTGACATAAATGATTTTTACCCTTCGATAAGTGAAAAAACCCTAAACAACGCAATCAACTTTGCAGAACAGCATACTTTAATAACTAATTAACATAAAAAATAATTAAAACATTCAAGGAAATCTTTACTTTTTAACAATGAAGAAGCGTGGGTTAAGAAAAATGGTGGTCAATTTGATTTTACTGTGGGAGCTTATGACGGTGCTGAAGTTATTAGCAATTGTTTTATTATTTCAAATTTCTTTACATTACAAAAAAGAAAATGTTGGTTTGTATCGTGACGACGGTCTAGCAATATTTAAGAACATCAATGGCCAGCAGATGGAAAAAATCAAGAAAAATTTTTTGTAAAAATTTTTCAAAGTAATGAATTTTGTATATCTATTCGATGCAATATGAAAATTGTAAATTATCTTGATGTGACACTCGATCTTAATAGCAACTTTTTTCGACCTTACGCTAAACCCGATAATGAACTGATATATGTTCACTGTGATTCCAACCACCCGCCTAATGTTATTAGAAGGCTCCAACGTACTGTTGAAATAAGATTATCTTCAACGTCATCAAATGAAGTTTTTTTAATTATACTACACCATCTTACAAAGAGGCTTTTAAAAAAGCTGGTTATAACTGTAAGCTTACATACCAACCCCAGGTTACATCGCCTAAAAATAAAAATCGCAAGCGAAATATTATATGGTATAACCCTCCGTTTAGTCTAAATGTAGAAACAAAAATAGGAAATCGTTTATTAGCATTGGTTGATCTACATTTTCCTGTGAATGACAAACTACGCAAAATATTCAAAAAGAAATTCGATCAAGGTTAGTTATAGCTCCATGCAAAATATTAAATCCATCATTAGTTCACACAACCACAAGATTTTACATAGTAAAAGAAATATAACTTCAAAAACATACAACTGTATTACTAAAACCGCTTGTCCATTAAGTAACCAATGTTTAGTAAGTAATATTGTTTACCAAGCAACTGTGAGTTCTAATGATCTAGATCCTAAGGAAAAAGTATATTTTGGTATCAGTGAGACACCATTCAAGCTCAGATACGCAAATCATTTAAAGTCTTTTAATGCAATCAAATATAAAAATGATACTGAACTTTCAAAAGAAATTTGGAGTTTAAAAGAAAAAGGTACAACACCTAATATAAAGTGGAAAATTATAAAACGCTGTGAGGCTTACAAACCAGAAACAAAAACATGCAGACTTTATCTTCATGAGAAAGTAGAAATTTTATCTTTTAATGGAAACAACCTGCTTAATAAAAAAAGACGAAATATTATCTAAATGTCGACATTAAAATAAATTCCAGTTATCTTCTTTTGATACTGGAAATTAAATGATTGCGCCATTTCAAATTACGTCAGAACTCGTTCTACCTTAAAATTTTGATTTGTTTTTTAAACGTTAATTAACGTTTTTAATTTTTAATTCTTAATTTGTGATTAATAGCTGATGATTGCCGAAAGGCACGAAACTTTAAGTACTATTATAATGTTGTTTTTCTTCATTCAAATAATATATATATATATATATATATATATATATATATATATATATATATATATATATATATATATATATATATATATATATATATATATATATATATATATATATATA